TTTACCTCCACCGACAGACGAAGGTAACTTTTCTCTCAATTGTTCAATAAAATGAAGAAAAAAGAAAAGATAAAAAACTAATAACTGGATCCTTCCCAATAATTTTTTCAGATCTAATATCGGTCAGTGCCGGTTATGGAACTAATTTATTGGAAAAAACACCCAACAGACCCAGAAGAACTTTAAAAGATTTGTTGCCAGAAGTGTCAGAGAAAGCTTTGGATCTTATCAGCAATTTGATAGTCTTCAATCCCACGCAACGGTTTACGGCAGTCGAAGCACTAGAGCACCCATATGTCGCCGAGTGAGTATACATTTATAATAATGTAACTTTGTAGAAAGTGTAGAAATTTAAAATTAAATTCATTTTGTGTTTGATTAAATTAAATTTATTCTCTTTGAAATTATCCATAGATTTCCTTTAATTCAATTATTCTTCACTCACAAAAATATTTATAATTTATTATCCGTACGTATGTAGAGAAAAAAACAATCATTTGTTTTTTAATTTTTACTGCGATATCTGAATTATATTTAAAATATTAGATATATTATGTAAATAAAGTAAATTAATATATATATATATATATTTAAAATTTCTTTTTCAACAGTTTTCATAGGAGAGGAAATGAACCGGAAAGGGGCTCTAGTGTCATACCATTGTTGAGTGACGATGTGCAACTCTCAGTCGACGAATATAGAAATAAGCTCTATGCAATGATGGATGAAAAACATCGGAAACATAAAAATATGTGAGCATATATTTATTCACGCAGAGTCAGCGATTATTGCTTTACTCAACGATTCTATTGCATTATTAAAATATGGTGTAGTTGGATCTCTCTATTTTTTAATAAAAAATACTTTTAATAAAAATAAATATTTATATATTTTATAACGATTTTCTTCTTTTTTTTTTCGTATTTTTATAGGTCAAAATCCAGGCTGCGGCGATTGTCTGAAAGCATCAGGAAGGAAACCAGGAACAGTAGCAGTAACCCAGTGATCGGTCAAGGTGACACGATTGTCGGTGAGAGGAATGTATTAAATGAAATTTCTTCAACTCCTACAATTTCATTTTATTAATTTCATTTTATTAATTTCTAAACATATATGAGCGGAAAACGCCATATTCGGTCAAAGCAGTTTTATCTAATAATATTCTTGTAAATTTATATAATTTCCAGTTCAAGCAAACTGTACATCGATTATTTGACAGTCTTGAAACACAGTTCTAAACCAAAGTTGAAATGATATCACAAATTAAATTGACAAGCATTTTAATATTATTAATGCTATTAATTTTTAGTTTATTTTTCTACAAACTTTTTCCTTTTCAGCGTGCTCGTCATTGCCAAGCAAAAAGACAATCAGGCCGTCTCAGAGTGATAATACTCCGCGAGGCGTTACAAGAACACAAACGATGAACAATCCCATAGATCCGCCACAGGAAACCTTAATAAACACCCGGCATAATGGTAAGAATCTTATACTAATAATTTCAATTTTATGGTGAGCATAGAGAATAATTGAATTATTATATCGAGATTATATTGATCTTTAAGAAATTTCAATTACTGCATTTGCGATAAATTAACAGTTAGAAATATGGCGACACAGTACGCATGTAAATTGACGAACGGAAATATACCCCCAGCAGCGGCCAAAAGTTGCTTCTACTTTAATCAGCAGCAGCTGTCGAAATCTCAGCGTTCCATTCAATCAGATCAGATGGCCATGGTGAGTGTAAGATTATTTTCTTGTTTATCTCACACTCTTCCATGTTTGTTCTGTTGCCTCCTTGTTAAGAATCATCTTATCACGGGAAGGTAAACGGTAAATTTTGTTATTACAGGCTGCATGTCGTGTGGGATTTGCGTTTAGTAGGTACTGTAACTCATTTTATGCATCACCTAGCAGATTGCATTCGATATTTATATTCGATATAATTTATGCACGCTATACACACGTTTGAGAGTAAACTCTTAACCCCGTAATGTGCCGCATAAATAATATAGTTTAGGTAATTCTTTATCCCGATAAGGAAATAAATAAATTTTGAATAACAGTAAAGTAATAAAAGAAACATTTAAGAATTTTAAACACGCCATATGTGTGAATACATCAAATACGATAAAGAAAATCAAGAACGAATTTGGATGTTTTAAATAATATTATATATTCTTATGTTAAATTAACTTATTTCAGATATGATTGAGAGCCGAAAAACTTTCGGTTTCAACACATTTTGAAACGCTAATAAACTTTTCTAAATTAGAATAGAAAGAAAGAAACTTATTGCGAAAAATATTACCTCTACCAGAATTTGATCCTGGGACCTCTCAACTTTTCAAGAAGAGTATCTTATATCTGAAATAAATTAAATTAATATAAGAATATACAATATAATGTATTATTTGAAACATCCAAATTTGACCGTTCTTGGCTTTTCTTTATCATATTTGATGTAATAAAAGAAATTTTATAAAGTTAATTTGCAATTTTAACTAATCATTTTGTTGCACGACATAAAAATGCTGAAATACTTTTTAATGACGCGTTTTTATTACCACAGAGTTGAACACGTCAATAAATCCTCCTCAGGAGTTTAATTGTGCATCATACAACTGGTAAAAATTACAAAAGTGAGCAAATTTACTAGTGTTGACTAATGAAATTATAAATATTCTAATAAATTTGCTTATTTTTGTATTTTTCTTCAAATTGTATAATACACAATCGAACTTCAGTTTTCATCACATATGTACTCTGCACTTTTGTCGAATTGATAGATAGCCATACATCAAAATGAATTTACGTTACTACATACATTCGTATCGATATTTCATCGTACCTATGGAATTTCTTCAATTTCAGTATGGCATTAGAGGCCGATCAAACCAATTAACAACAATAGCACAACGCACCAAACCGCGAAGAGTCAGCAGGCAACAGATCCTTACACAGGCGCCAAGGCCCTTCAGCTCGGCATCTGCTAATTGTCGTGGCGACAATCATTGGTCTAAAAAGATGCCGACGAAGCTAATCAGGATCAGCGACAGTCCGAATACAATTAAACAACCCAACAACGTTGCAAAGACTGTCGTCAGAACCATGGACGTCAGGACCACGGGGGTTAGCAGTCCGGAATCGCCATGTATCGGCCACCAGTCGCAGGCTATCCGCAACTATTTCAATCAAGTGCCGTTGCTGACTCAACAGCAACCTCAAGTGCGGAATCGCACCTCTTGCCGCGGTAGGGACAACAACTTCGTCAACAAATCATTCGTCGTGGATACTATGACAATCAATAATTGTTTTAAAAATGCGACGCGCGGACAGGGCAGCAGATTACACGCGAAGCACAGCTTCGATGTCAACTACGTCGGTCAGAAGAGACCGTCGACGTGCAACAAGTCAAGATTTCTGAACAGCCACAGTCAGAGTCATGGCGTGATAGCGGAATCGGTTTACAAGGACCTCTGTAATGGAACTATAGGATGGTGAGTGTGCGGCGGATAGGCTTCCCCGAGGATGAATAACGATTAGACGGGAAAATCATGCGACGATCACTTGACTTTTCTTTTGAGAAAATCCAGATAGAGACGAAACATTCAAACCGATCGTGCACACGAATTCTTTTCAGCGAGATTTTTTTTGCGGGAAAGATGTGTTCTCGAGTGTCTCGAGGATCTTTACACGCGGAGTTTATGGACGGAATTTGAAAAAAAAATCTATAGTTGAAACGTTTTCAACTTGCAATTAGATCGATGCGGACACAAAACATGCAATATTTTTAAGGAAATTTTTTCTATTTCTTCTAGATTCTTTCTTTATTTTGTAATAATATATATAATTGATATTTTATCAATAGTTTTTTTATATATTCGTCTTATAATTTGTTGTAATGCAAACAACATTTTGTAGTAATTATATATAGTTCACATTTAATGCATCTTTTTTAATATTTGTGTTACAGTTTGCTGTAATACAAACAATTGTATAGCAAAAGTGTAAAAAAAATTTTTATTAATAATTCCGCGATAAAAAATAGGCGGTCGTCGTAGATTATCCTAAAAGTTCGTTTATTCATCCTCGTGCAAGAAGCATGCCGCCTCATGCGAACGTGAATGCGATCCAAGATTCCTGAGTAAATAAACATTTTACATAAAGTAGATGCATAATTAATCAATGTGCTTTCGAGTTCCCACGGGTATAATCGGAGTAAAAAACGACTTCATTCCAAGGAACACACAAATAAAATATCAATGTTTGGAAATAAATATGATCTTCAAGATTACTACCTCGTACCATAGCTACTTTTTATACTACGTAAAATATCGAAAAGATAAATGGGAGATAAGCATTTGAATGCAGTTTCTCTCCTTTTTTTGTAACGAAAATGCGACAATAAGTGAGATCATATAAGACAATAAGAGATCAAAATTTGTTTTTACGGAAAAAGAAATGAAGATCTTTTTTTTTTTTTGAAGTATCGTCGCAATTGGGAGTACCATCCATTTTGACGAACAGCAGAAACGAAATAAAGAGCAAAAATTGCATGGAGACTGCAATGATTATCCCGTGAGAATACGAAAAACGTAGGAATTTAGGACGTAAGCAATACGATTCACGTGAGGCCATACAGCGGAGCATACATATTTTTCTATGCCATTTTATTTGTATGACGTGAATATATGAACACGTACACGACATACGCATATATACATGCACGTACGCACTACTATAGTAGATATCTATCATCGATTTAGTGTACAAATCTCATTGTATCATATCTTGTGTCGTAATGTCATTGCGCAGCGATGATCGACAGCGCTCGGACTTATTACGTGCTATTCGTATTGTGAGAATAAAATTTTAATAAAAAAGAAAGAGTCTTTTTATTAAAGAGGAAACAATTGATAAGATAATAAATGCCTATTCTCAGAAAAAAAATGATTGGCACAGTGGAGCAGCTAGTTAATGTTGTCCGTCTGTGATACATTAAGTACTCGACTTTAATTGGCTGGTCTTTAATTCATACTTGTCCTTATTCTGTCGTTGATCCCTCCTATAATGTCCTGGAGCAATCTGTATATTCGAATTGTCATAAATATTTTTCAATTCAATATTGATACGTTTTAAATTATACGAATGACTGTTGCGTCCTGAGAAAAGCTGTTGAAATGATGCCTTTTTGATGACAGCCTTTTTGTTGCTGTTTTGCTAGAACACATTGTTCCTTTGTCACAGTTATCAGCTTTCGCTTACAAGGAATACATGGCACGTCATCAGCAATCGTCATCGCGTTCTGCAACAATGATGAATAAAAAGAATGAAAATAATTTTCATATTATCAGTCGAGATTAGCGAAGTTAGGGGATCATATTTTTAATTTTGTTTTTTTTAATATAAAAAATGCGGAATTCTTTTTTATTTTTATAAGGAATTGTAGAACAATATATTAAAAAAAGTGTACAAATTAATTCTGTGTCTTTTTTCACAATTTAAAGTTAATCGCACAAAGACAAGTACACATTTAATATTCGAAATAATCTTTATCGTTTTTGATGACTTTATACTATCTTTCGAGCAACTGACGAATGCCCTCGCGGAAGAAACTTGGTGATTTTAACTCGATAAAGTCATCGATAAAGGCACCGAATTTGTACACCTAATATGAAAAATGCTACTAGAAACTATCATTTTTTTAACTATCACTTTTTTAATATTAATACCGTAAAGTTAGCATGATATTTTATTAATATGACAAAAGTACTGACAGTTTCAATAGCATTTTTCATAATTCCTTGGAGAAATAAAAAAGTTTCACATTCATCCCGTACACTAAAAAATAAAATAGAAAATATATCATACTAACTTTGTAAATCTAGCACGACACTAAAGCACAAAAAAATAAATATTAATTGCATTCAGCACGAAATTTGAAAATTGTCATTTTGATCTTTTTATGATTTTGTATTCTATTTAGGAAACTTATATCATTATCGATAACTTTTCTCAAGTATTGAACCATCTAATTAAGTGTGTAAAGAATTCAATAAAAAAAAAAACATTTTTTAATGAAAGTATTTCTGATAATACCTGTCTAATGCTTAGAGATCCACGTAATTATTATTTCAATTTGTATTCATTCAGAAAAGCAAGGGTTTTACTGCAAGGAATTATTAGTTTAACTTTATAAAAAAATTGAGAATTTATGAAAAAAATGTGTAATTAATTTACTCTTCGCGAAGGATCATGATGCAATAGCTTATTGGAGACACAACATAAAGTATTCGCAAGTTTCTGACGAAAACCACGGGTCATCCAACAATAGACCACAGGATTCAAAGCACTGTTTGCATGTCCCAAAAATAGGAAGTACTTCAATGTGTTATTTGTTGACGTTGATGGGCCTGTAAAATGTGTATATAAGAAATTTATTAAAATTAATTAATCTGTACTTATCGACGTGAAAAAGATTGCATTTTTATTATTATATATAAACTCTTTATTACAAAATTTACTTGAAGATCGTAGTTAAAGAAATCACCAGGAATAGGAAATATATCAAATACTTATAATTGATATTTTAGTTACGAAATATTATCTTTGCAAAATATAGAAATTATTGCAAGATTTCGCACTTACCGATAACGTCGAGATCAATCAAAAATTTGGCAATATTGTAGGGCATCCAGCACAGAGCGAATAGTATAGCGAGGAATAGTAATATCAATGCAACTCGTTTTCTTTCATGTCGTAATTTGGAGCTCTATGAATAAAAGATATCAGCGTATCTAGAATAGATCTCGCAAATTTTTGGAATTCGGCTGCGTTTTTAGGAAAACTTTGAAATTATTGCTAATAATTTAATTACAAAATTTTAGATCTCTCATTGATCTGACCTGCCGCGAGCTGGCACTTTCCCTGTTATCATAATCGAAAGGTGGCTTTTTAGACCAAAGAGTGAAGCCAATCATCGAGTAGGCTAGTAATACAACAAGACCTAAACACACAATAAGAAAACATGTAAAGAAAAAAAACAAAGACTATTCTATTAAGTACATGTTCCAATTATGTGCTACTGCAAGAGTAAACGTATAAAAATCTTCTTAAAAAATGTAATATTGTTCTTGTTTAATAAAAATAACGAATTAATATTAGTTTAATCGCCTTTACTCAGAAAGCATTGTGTACGAAAATTGAAATAATAATACACGCATATATAAGCAAACATCTGCTTATGTAGAGTCAAATTTAAATTTAGATTGTAGATTATTAAGATTTATGGATAGCAATATGAAAGCAAGAATTTGTATACATTTGTATGTTTGTGAAAAAATTATATAAAGAGGAGGTTCTTGTAATATCACAGAACAACAATAAATATTTATTTATGTATTTAAACTTACATGGAATAGCGGTAGAGAATACGAAGTGTATGCTCCCGAAGACGTCTCGTCTAATTCCTAATGACATGAAATCCTCTATACACATATTGAAACCTGGTGGTATTGGCGAGATGCTATTGTGTGTAATATTCTCGCTTGCCATTAAGTCCAGAGCCTTGTTGATGACTTCCGTCATTGGATCCTGGAGTCTCATCTGTGTAAAAAAAAAGCTCATTCGCTTATATCATATGTATGTAAAAAGTGTATATATATATATATATATATTTCACTTCATCATTAGTTTCCACAATTTGACAATTAATCAGCACAGACTTGGTATCAAAAGACTTACCGCTCCGTAGATTGTAATAAAAAAAGCCATGGATGCCAGCCAAATAGATACGATAACAAGAGTAATATTCTTATGATTACATATATAGCGGAGAATCATGGGATTTCTTATGGCCAGATATCTATCGATGCTCATAGCCATAATAGTATATATTGAGGCAGTAACACCTACACCTATTGCACGCACGAGTAATTATACAATTAGAAAATTTATAAATGTAATAAAAAATATTACATATATATTTTATGTCACACACACATACACACAACACACGCGCGCGCGCACGCACACAGAGGCCCTTATTATGAGATACCGAGCATTTTGGGTAAATGCTAGAAGTCTATGAGCAGAATTTAAAAAAATAATAGGTCATTTTGAAGGGAATTTAATAAGCTTTAAGATAATGTTATGTAAAAAATTTAATTTAAATTATTCTACTTTTTCTGAAAATTAAAGAAATGTAAAAAGTAAGCAAATCGCAAAATCAAAAAATTGTGCTCCTAATATGAGATAACGAGAAATCGATAATAAAACGCAAAGTATCATCAGTATTCCAATTAAAAAAACTTCATGTAATGTTTCTAAAATACAGACATAGCCAGTGTGCGCGCAAAATGAGCATGCGATGCAATGTACCCAGGACTCATCTTCAGGTAGTTGAAACTAACTGTAAGCATCGCAGAAATAGGCAATCGATGTTCATTCCGATTATCTTTTTTATTATTGTACAATAACATTTACTTTAGCAACGATTTTCATTATAACATAGGAGCATAAGTTATATTTCATATTAGAAATACCCTGGGTATCTTATATTACGATTTCCACGCCTTATGGTTTTGCGATGATCAAATCTAACATCTGTAATTAAGCAATTCAACGTATCTCGTATTTTTCTATTAATACGATCACTACATGAAGAATTTATTGCTAAATATTTATTTAAATAATAAACAAGGAAATTAAAGGCTCATCTCAATGAAAACATCCAAATTCTAAAATCTTTTTTTACAAGACTACAGGCATGATCTAATAATGAATTTTCGACTAAATAATTTTCAATCCAAGAGCAATAAATTCATAATAGAACCAATAGATAGCATTTATTAATTTAGCAGAAACGTCGCTATCTTATATTAGGCGCCTATCTCTCATAATAGGGGGTTTTTCTCTATATATTTTCATTCAAATCGGATAATTATTTATATTTACAATGTTTTTATATATATATGTAAAGTGTCATGCAGAAAATATACACAAGTACAGTAAGAGATTAAATAATCAACAATACAATATTTATTATTCACACAATAAAATAACATAAAAATACATACAAATGATAAGTGCGATCAGACTGGATTATCAATTATTGAGAGCTTTGTAAAAATTCTTACTTTGCAGATAAGAAGTTAATTTGCACAAGAATTCACTGTGATTCCATGACATCGATATTTCCTGACTGATTGTCATTGGCATGCATATTATGGCAACCAATAAATCAGCCATGGACAGATTAATCACAAAATAATTTGTAACGCTGTAAGAATTGTATCTTTAATTTTACACATAAGCAAAGTCTATTTTTTTTCTGCGATTTATTTATGTATGTATAAATTTAAATATCTAATTAATAAAATCTAAAGTTTGATTATATTTTCTAATATTTTATAAATAAAAAATTATTGTTTACTTTACAATCATATTTTTTGTTCCGTTAATTTAATGAATATTTTATGCTGATGAGAGAAATGTTTATAAGTTAATTCTAGGAACTTTAAGAATATTGATAAATTTTTTACAAATAAAAGTAAAGCTCGTAGAATATTATTAGGTGTTGGAATTAATTCGTAGCGTTTTACAAGTGATGGGAAGTACTTTCATTAATGTATTTTTTAATGCTCATGTGAAATAAATAACATTCTTTCATTAAAAACGCTACGAATTAATTCCAACACCTAATAGATTTTAGAATGTGAAACAAATTCAACAAAAGAAAGTTCTTCAGAAGGCTCACATAAGTAGTAGCATATAAAATTTTCTGTTTGTTTTGGTATAACGTAAAAATTGATATAACGATTCGTAACCATATATTCAAATTTTCAGAAGTTTATTAAATTATTTTTGATAATCATCAAATCACTGACTTTATATATATATAAAATATTTTTATTAAACATAATTTAGTCAATAAAATTTAACACGATACTTGTGTTGCGTTTGATGAAAACAATTTTCACCAAGATAGCTCTAATTCCGATTGCGGAGAAGATTATTGCTCTAATGAAAAATATATTCTGGTGCAGTGTTCGTAACTGCTCAGGTATTTGACGAAGCGCTGTATATATCCGTCGCTTATTTCCGGCTTATATACGCAACGTATCATACAAATAAACTATCCGCAATGAATTCATAATGGACGAACATGTATGTAACAGCTGCGGATGCTATCGGTAGTAGGTCTTCGATTATTTTTCAACCAGAAATTCGTGCTCTCACACGAAGTGCTATTGAAATCGCGTAAGATCACAATGAGCCATCGGAGAAGCCACATCTCTTGCCGTCTGCTCTCCGAATTTGTTATTCAATAAATTCGGTATACTGTATTGTTTGTTTCATATCGGGGATGTGAATATAGTTCCACACATAATAAAGATTTATAATATAGTTTGTTGACTTAATTAAAAATATTCTTTTTTTTTTTCAAACTACACAACCCGAAAATCTGTTAATAATTCAACATAGCAATATAATTTTATTAAATTATAATATTAGGTGTTGGAATTAATTCGTAGCGTTTTACAAGTGATGGGAAGTACTTTCATTAATGTATTTTTTAATGCTCATGTGAAATAAATAACATTCTTTCATTAAAAAACGCTACGAATTAATTCCAACACCTAATATAATTTAATAAAGATATAAAATTTAAAAGATGCGGACATTAATTTTGCATCTCGTTTTGCTTATTTATTACAAATATCAGATATTAGATAATTCATAATTAATACTCTAAATTCAATTAAAAACTTTGCATAATTACTTACCTCTTTAAATGATATTTGCAGACTACAATTATCACAAAAATGTTAGCTATCACACCGACTAGTACAGTTGGTATATAAAGAATAATCAGCAAGTAATCCTTATTGCTTCCATGAAAAGAATTGTAAAAATCCCATAGTATCTTGACCATAATGTCATTCTTCGATGACAAAGTCTTGTTCGCCATCATTGTGATCTTCGTGCAATCTTATTATACTGGATCCTGAGTCAACCAAGAAGTTATATAATATATATAAAAATATTAAAATAGAAAGTAATGGTGGTAGTATAAATAATCGAGAACACAAAAAATCAAGATTTTTCGGCTCGGGTTCCGGACGACAAAAGTCTGCTCTAACAACTTTTTTCCGAGTGTGAGGAACAAGTTTTCTGTAATACCGTGGTTTGTTATAACAGCAGCGACGTACACGTACACCGAGAGTCTCGGCAGTTGCGCACAATGTGGTCCAACTTCTCACAGTTCCGATACTTACGTTCGCAAAATCTTTTATTGGCATCAAGCTGCACGCGAGGAAAGGGTTCGCGGTAGTAACACATAGAATGTTACCAGTTACCACCATCGCGGTATCGATTTGAATCATGGTCGGAGGCAGACACTTGCACGAAAGTTAGTGGTAGTTTTATTTCTCTTAGGCGTTTGTGTTGAATTTCCGGTGATCACTATAACCAATGTTTGTTTAATTATGAAGCTCGGTGAGATATCAACTTGATATTCGATTTTGTTGATGTTTCCTTTCGTTAATCTATAACATCGATCTATAATCATAAATTCACATCTTTTTTACCCTAATAGCATTTATCTGAGATACAGCCTAGGAATGTCCTTGACTGTTCAAAGAATATACGCACATCCTCATGTTCTAAGGACATCTCCTGGAGATCTGTGCTGTTAGGATATTTATACTTTTTTAATAAAAGAAAAAGTATATGATAATATTATAAAAAGAATAAATTTAAATGAAAATTTAAAAATTTAAACTTATATATTTTGCAATATACATATGTATATACAATATCATAGCTATCATTTATTAAAAATGAATTAACAGATTCAGATTTTTATTCTAAATGTTACTATTTTTAGTTTATAGACAACAAAACGCAAACAAAATTTTACTTGAAATAATCTTTCCTAAATTACTCTTAGACATTTTCTAATTTACAAATTTTATTTTCTAAAATTTCTTATAAAATTAATTTTTTTTAATATACGTATGCTATAGAGTGCAGAATATAAGAAACATTATTTTTCCTTCCTTATAATCTTTCTAAATATGTACGTTTCATACGTATTAATTGAATCTGTTTTTTTACTTGCTCTCAAGAGCAATCGTTAAATTGAAGTGACAAATTTTTGTCGATTTTATGATAAACTTTAAAATAGATTCTTCACCTCGGCATAAATTTTAAACATAAATGCGCGCAAGATTACTGCAACACTGTAAATTGATGTAAACGATCTATATAATTCAATGCCATGAATACCATTAATATTAAAATCTCAAATATATATATAGACATAATATCTTATATAAGCGACAAACTTTACAATTCGTTAAGAAAGCGATAATAAAATTATAAAGAAACATCCTCGAATACAAATGCAAAAAACTTTTTCAACCAGAAATAGATATGCGCATTGATAAATCTGTTGTTGCTTCTACTTTGGACAAAATTCTACATTTTTTTTATATACATATATATCATTTAAAATTACGTTTTTTGTTAATTAATTACAGTTAATTTAATTATATTTTAGCCGAAAAAATAGATATATTTATAAAAAAATCAACTCTTATATGAAGAGAAAAAATTTGTTATAATCGCTGATCCTTTGTCGTAACGGCAAATTTCATTTGCGAATATCACAAAATTATTTGCAGGTGTAACAAATAAAATTTGTCGACTTATATTTGTTAACTCAGCAATCAAAATTTGCTACAGTTGCAATAAAAATAAATATATTTATCAAATAAGCAAAAGATATATATTAGGTGTTGGAATTAATTCGTAGCGTTTTACAAGTGATGGGAAGTACTTTCATTAATGTATTTTTTAATGCTCATGTGAAATAAATAACATTCTTTCATTAAAAAACGCTACGAATTAATTCCAACACCTAATAATTGCATATGATATTTAAAGATAAAGATTAAAATGAGATTTAATTAATTAACTAAAATAAAATAAAATGAAATTCCTTTTTTTTTATTTTATTGCTACTTACTTTATTTTATTGCTACTTTTATGTATACTAACAGAATTTACATTATATAAAACATAAAACATATTTATACAGTAAAGTATAATACTTTTGAGTCTTTCACGAGTTTCTATTTCAGAGATGTTAAAAGATTTATCGCCATGTCATTATCCATTGCTAATGCCAAGATAGAATATAAAGCAAGCTTCTCAAATTTTGTTTAAAAAGTATTTGGTAATGAAAAAAGAAGGAGAATAAAATAATATATCAAAATATCAACGTACTAATTCCAGTCTTTGTTGTTCTAAGGAATAAGAAAAAAAAAGTAAAATGGAAAAGATCATTTCGTAACTTAAAAAAAATATATATATTATTAATTTAAAGAAAAAAGTATTTAATTTAAAATATTTAATTTAAAATTTGCAAATGATTTTAAAGACAATTTAAATACAATTTTTGAAAATTGATTTGCGCTTTCAGTTTATATGATCAGTTTTTTTATTATTATTATAAATTATAAATAATAATGTTTTTGAGTGTATTTTCAGCGTTTGTAATGTATTTTAAAGTAGTTTCTCAATCATGTCGTTTTGAAGCAATGCTTGAATTTAATTATAATTTTTAACTTAATTTTTAATGTGTGGATACCCACTGTCTTTTTCTTGTTCGCATCTTAATGCCATTTGATGCGTGATTTTTCTTTTAAATATTAATTAAAATAAATAATAATCTCAGAATTGTGCAATTTACTTCCAGCTATAGCAAATCTTCTTTTATATGGAATTATATGCATACTAAGAATGAAACACGATCCCCTCTAATTTTATTAATTGTTTTAGATACGACACAATATTAAAATAAAAGACATTTTTTATAACTGTCAATTTTATTTTAAGTGATTGAAAACATTTCTTAGAATTAAAATCGATATTTGTGTTTTTTAATGAATTAAACCGTTAAGAACTATAAAAAATATTTTGGGCAATAGTTTTATGGCTTTTAATTATCATATTTTCCAATAATTGTACATCCTCAAAAGAAACAGTATTCAGTATTAAAAAAAAAATTATTTTTTCAACATCCATTATGCTTACTTGTTAGTTTGTATAGTCATATTCAATCTGAAAACGTGCTGTTTATAGTATTGTAGCGACTATACATTCTGTTACAAATGTCTTGTCTCTCTCCATGTAATTATCTGCGTAATGTGTGATGTCAAAAATTAATCAAATGATAGAAACATTATATACTTTTTAAATTATATCCTTTTAAATATTAAATTATATATATTTATCTTTCACATACTGTGCAGAGCTTTTCTTCTCGACTCCACAGCACGTATTCCACAGCCGATTCGTAAACCGCTATATAGAAATAAAAATGAGAATGTAATAGGAATGTAGCAGGATGTAATTAGCACGATTGACCATGCTGATGTGACGCATTGAGAACTCTTTGAGATTACTGCTAGACATTGGCGGTATGAAGGATTACCAGATACGTAGTTATACCAGAAGCTATCTGCGAAAGTAACGAATGAAAAATTTATCAAGATATGAAGAATCTTCGAAATAATTTTGTGCAGCGACGGATTAAATGAAACACAAACTGCAACAATCTCGGATTACTGATTCTAAAATCTTTATATTATTCTTACCGAAAGAAGCAATGGAAGATCGATGCGTATGATTCCATAAGAAGCAAAGAAGTGTACATGTTGTAGCTGGAAATAAGTAACAGCTTCTATACAGTCCTGTAATTATTTAAAAAAATTATTTATTTTAATTAATATTTAATAAGAAAAATTAGTTGTCTAGAATCTGGAATAAAACGTTAATTAAATAAATAAATGACGTATTTTATAAAAAAATTCAAATTAGAGTTAACTAAATTAGCAAAACTTTTATTTTTACCTGCATAAAATTTTTCTTAACAAGAATGGCAGATGATGGTGTAAAGGCGATCTTGCCAACACGATTAGCCTTTGAAAAAAGAACAAGAGATAAGCTCGTCAGTCACATGGCGAGAGACCTTTCCTCAAGAATAAATTAACGTACTTGGGTCGCAGTCATGTGACAAATGATGGTAATGATCAGCAGATTTGTCACACAAGCAGACACCAGTAAAATTTCTCTCGCTATCAACAAAGGTTGTAAGATCGCGCCATTATTGATCGTATAGATGCGGGTAAGTGTATTGAAGGACATACAAAAGATCCATAGCAAAAGCTGTATCGAGTACACGGAATTTATCATCTCGGTCGCATTGGTGAGACATGAATGCAACCACCACACTTCTTGCAAATGAAACTGCTTGTCCAAGCGATCCACCACCATGATTTTGCCATCTGATTAAACATACAACGTTGCGTGTGATTATTCTTGAATGTTAATTAAAGACAATTTGACTGCTACTTGTACTTAAAGAATTATTAATTATGTACATTAAGTCTTTATACATGTATAAAATTTATTGAAGATTGTAATGTTGCAATCATATAGCTGCATTTGATAAATTCCGTTCACATAAAAAATGAATTTAATAAATATATATTTTTTATTTTTTTTATCTCAAATGTCTCTCAAAAATAATATTTTTCTTGACATTAATTAAACTTATTTCCGTTATTTCATCGAAGGTGTTACTCGCATTTAAAATGAGCCATAAGTCAATGTCATTTATTTTTCAGAGTTTCGATCCTCAGAGCTATCCTGTCTTTATTGGTTGAACTGCGTGGGAAGGCAGACATGTTACGCAGACAGTAAACATTGATAACAAGTAAACGGCGAACGTGTTTCAATAAAACATTAAAATTAAAAAAATTTGCAAGAGTAAAATAATTAGAGAGTTAGAAAGCATTAGAAAATAATAGTTCTACATTATTAAATTTTTTAAAAGGAAAAAGATGATGGATCGATTTAAATTGCGATAAACAAATCTTTTTTTCTTAAAAAATTCTTTTTCTTTACGTTTCCACGATCTTGTATGTAAATTGTGATTAATAGCTAAAAATTGTTAGGAATACAACAACGTTGTAAATTAAAAAATAAGTAATATAAGCGAATTATTAAATAATATCAGCAAATTATTAACGCATTAGTAAACGCTATAGACATACCATTCTTTGCAATTAATCTACCTTCGGGCAGGAGCAACGATTCACAAAGACGATGATATCTCTCGTACAGAAGAGATGATAGGCTGGCGAATGTTATTAATTGTATCGTTAACGTTGTGTTAACAACAGCATAAGTTATACCGTTAAATACAGAGTCTTTAGGCTCCACGCTACGAATGAAAATTATGAATAATAATATAGTCGTATGATAAAATTGATCATGAAACAAAATGAATTTGCGAAATAATGATAGCACATTATTAATACGATCTTGTTTCTAATTTTCTAATGATTAATATTTTTACTATCGTATTTATTACTATAATTTCGTATTTTGTAAAGTGATTACATATAAATGTTTACAAATTACTCCAATATAAATTGATTTGATATAATCATATCGCTTATATTGTTGCATACTAAAGTTATTAAGTTATAATGTATACAGAATGTTCCGAAATTTTTTGCTAAGCACTCTTGTGTAGAGTGGACTAAAGTGAGTCAAAAAGTCCTGTACTATTTTGCAATAGTTAACAAGATATTAATTACTAAAAATCATTGAATATTGGTTTTCAATAATTTTTTATTCAAATACTATCAACAGAAAAACAGAGAGACAAAAATTGTTATTTATTTTCTTCTCATAAAGTTCTGAGAATTTTTTCAGAATTTTTTAATACCGTATTTTCTCGTATTGATAAAAATAATTAATAAGTAAGGAAATGCAGTACTAAAACGTTATTAATAAATTCTGAAAAAATTTTTAGAGTTCTACAAGAAAAAAATAAACAATTTTTGTCTCTTGCAGTTTTTCTGTAAAATTGACAGTATCTGAGAAAAAAATTATTGAAGATCAATATATTCGGCAATTTTTAGTAGTAATTAATATCTTGTTAACTATTGTGAAAATTACAAAATAGTAGTGAACTTTTCGACTCGATTTAATCCGCTCTATCTACACAAAAGCACTTAATAAAAATTTCATGACGTCCTGTATTAGTCATCAATATTAGCGTTTAAAATACATTCTTCTCTCTTCTGTTTAAAATACATTAAAAAATTTATATAATGAAACTCGTTCTTTCGTATTGTGTTATCTCACGTGTCATGTCATTCTTGTTGTGATATGTTGTGTAAAGACTGTAATTCTCATCGTATCGATATATTTAGAGAAGTAAGACAAGATTTTTACATTAAAAATACAAGTGTAAAAGTTCGAGTGATATGCAATCATGAATAAAAAGAAAAGTCTATATAAGAACCGATACAGGTTTTTCATGTATAAAAAATACCTATAATGTATATTAATAAAAATCTAAACGTTTCGACTACATTATTTTGGTCATCTTCAGTAATTGATGGAATATAAACTGTACGCTATTAAAATGAGACACTTGGTAAATTTATAATAATAAAGATATATCCAAATTTAAAATCTTGAAAATAGTATTTGTTTAAATATTGTTTACGTAAGTCAATCGATAAAATGATATTATCAATATCGGTTATACATACTTTAGTATGAGAATAATGTGTGGCATTACGAAGGTCCGTTACCAGTCATCGTATAAGAACAAAATATGTTTTTATATTAAGTTGTATCATCTTAAATAATTAAAATTTAAGCTTATAATGAATAGTGCGTATTTTTTGATAGATGACAAAATTTAATTATTTTTTTAATATGTAGCATATAATCTTTAAAATCTTTTTGTATTATATAGGAAGTAAACGCTTTATATTTACTTTACCAATATCGAGAATGACATTTTGATTGTTGATCGAAACGCATGTTGTATTTTATTACAAACGTTATTAAATATTCGCAATTTCAATCTATAATTTTTGCTCTTAGCTCCTTTACATTTATTAATGTTGTAAAGATATTATAATGAATCATTTTTTTTTAATTGTAATAAGAATTATGTATTATTATTATTCTTTTTTGATACCTGCTTACATAAAATTTGTTAATACTCACCAAAACGTTATATATCCAACTATTATCCAAAACGATAACATAACAAAGATCAATGACCAACAGACATAACGTATCATGTGAGGATATTTAGGTTCCTTATATTTTGTTGTACGATCGAAAATGCGTAAATGCGAAAGTGCAGCTCGTATCTTCCAGTTATAACAATACGTCATCACAATGTCACTTAAAACACAACTATACGAGAGACCTGTCCTCACCACAGTGAGCATCAGCAGCCTCGGTCCAATCATGTCGTCCCAGCGGAGCATATAAATATTCGCGATGCAAAGACTAACATACAAGAGTGCAAATAAAATTGAATAAATAGTGCCGTACTTCATCATCATAATATCGTCCTCCGTAACAAGAAAAAGTCCACATCCAAATAGTCTCGCAATATGCAAAAGAGGTCGTATGTCATTCAGAGACACCATTTCCTATTATCGATCTTGACGTTCGAAAATAAAAAAGAACAAGAAAAAATAAGAAAAGTTCACGTTGAAATTTTCTTTTATAACACTCTTATTAACTGCTTGATTATTTCTCTTATTCTTCTGTTTTTATGACTCTTTTAAGAGCCTTAAAGCCACTTAAAGCAAAAAATTACAGTGCCGAGTTCGATAAATCACATTTCTCCTTTTATTTGATTCAAGAAAAAACTTTCTCTATTTTTTTAATTCTAACGCTCAATAATAGAAAAATAGAGAATGCTCTCCTAAGTTCTTCTACTTAACCGCTCCAACAGTGATGTTAGTAAGATAAATGAAAAGCTTGTTGAACGCATGGCCTTTCCAATGATTCACATCCCACGATATTAACTTGCCACCATAATAGTGTAAATATTATCGTAACGAACAATTAACACCTGTCTCGTTCAAAAATTTCACAATGTGATAAACTGACGTTTACCACCGTCTGCCTTCTATTCATCACAATTACAATTTCCTGGGTTACTGCTGCCTATTTACAGAGAAGAAAAAAAAACGCAGTCACGAAGGGTTTTAGCGAGCACGCGCCGAGCGTCGTACTTATCATGACATTATAGATGCCTTCCATTTAGTTGACACGAATATCATTCTATTTTTCTTTGCATTTCAGTAAGTAACAAAGAGTAACAAAGACAAATTGATACTTGTGTCACTAAGTGGAAGACATCCTCGCTGATAATCACGATTAGATATTAAATACTCCATTATTAACAAGTCACAACACGAAAAAATTACACCTAAATGATTACAATGAAACATAAATAAATGGAATTTACACTTGAAGAGAATGTCTTGATAATTACAAATAAATTACAAACAAATTTGTCATCTCTTTCCTACAAATAGATATAAAATTAAAGAGAAAAATAATATCTTTTTATAAAAATATAAAATAGGGATAAAACCTATGTGAATATCATGTGAAAAATAATTTTTATCACTAATAAGCAGTGCCATATTAGCACCAGAACTTAACTTAGATTAGGAGCGGCAAAATTTAGAGGAACGACATTTTTTAAAAAAAATTCTAAAAAAATAACCATTTTTGACCACGCGAATGATTGAAATGATTGAAATTTTTTATTGATTATACTATAAGTTTGCTCGCGTCGCATGCTCCAACAGACTTGTATTATAGCTTCTATTCACTTCACAAGCGCATTGGATCAAAAAAACGTATAAAGACGTATTTCAAATATGGATTTTTTAACGTATAAAGGTGTTTCAAAAAGGTCCGGACTTCTGAATATTTCAAAAAATATAAGTTTTACAGAAAAGTGCTTCAGACAAAAGGATTCAAAAAGATCTAAATTTACTAATCTTATCAGTTTGGATGGCGTCGCCAAAATCAGGTCAAGGTTATATAAATTTTTTTAAGTGGCCTATTTTTGATTCCAGAATCTAATAGCTGGTGTCAAGAGCTTTTCAAAGAACTAATAAAGTTATTTTTTATAAAGTATTTTTTGAATTATAAGGCTTGAAAGTTGCAGTACCATCGATATTAGCATTAAGGTCCGACCGACGGCTAAAACGCTTAAATGTTATTCAGGATCATGTCCGGGATAACATTTGTTGAGATCAAGGTCAAATTGGAGATTGTTTCTCTTATTTTTATTTTTGCACTGAAAATTCATTTTTATGTAAAAAAAATAACTTTACGGTTCCTCAATCTCTACAGATGATTTTTTTTAGTACTCGTTTGGCCGACATGATTGTTCCTCAGTTGAAGAGGGGGCGGCAGAAGCCTTAATTTGGCCTTGCTGATAAGACTTGTGCGATAATACGACAGAGGAAAGAATTACTATGCATGTAGCATTGTAACTTTATATATATATATATACATGTGAGAAATGGAAATTCCACTATGCGTTGCACAAACAGAAATATATAAGTGTTTTTTCCATCTATATACGTAGCATAAATCAATATTTACACATCAAATGAAAAATACAGAATAGCAACAATGTAGATCATTAGCGCTTAAAAGCTAATAGAAATGATTGGTCGAGCTACACGTATATTACATATAATATATATACATATATGTATATGTATGTAATCGTTGAAATATACATATAAGACTTATACGAAGAGAAAAAAAAGGAAGATCAAAATATCAATTAGTATAGTAACAATAACATCCTCTTTTACAAGAAAATGTGATATTATCTTACTTAGGGCCGGTTATTCCACCTTTTGATAAATTTTACCTATTAGATAAATTTGGGAATTCGTATGTAATTGGGTCATCTTGCTACGTATTCAATAGGTAAAATTTATCAAAAAGTGGAACAATCGGGCCTTAACGATATTGACAAAGTAAGTAAGCCCTTTAACAGAAAAAAGCAAATTAATAAAATCCTACATTGTGTGGTGACACATTAAAGATACTAAAGTAGATCTATTTTCACTTTAGATGACCCTAACTTTCGTCTCCTCGCATTACGATTATCTGATCGCATATATGTAATAGTAACACATGTATAACATATATAAATAAAAGAAATATGTACACTCGCTAAATAAAATATTATCGCAGTGTGATAAGTTTCTACGATCTACGTATTCGGAAGAAATTACGAAAGCGTTATATCGTTCGCCAAAAAAAAGATGATTAATGATGTATCCTCGTCCTTTTTCCGACAAAAGACAATTACAGACTTATCTAATAAAATTTATCTTTATTCTTCTTTCTAATCTAAAATCTGCAAATGTCATTTGCTAATAAAAAATTCAAACTTTCAATAAATATATATATAACTTTCAATAGATATAATAAAACAAAGTTAAAATATATGTAAAAAGATTATATCTTTTTGATCAATCGAATTAATGGTACTTAATTAGGCTACGTTTGGACGCTCACACGCTTTAAGCGCTTTAAGCACTTATAATTATCATTCTGTTCTAATTGTTCATTAGAAAAGTAGGAGCAAGAGTAGAAGCGCTAAAAGCATTGAAAGCATACAAACCGAATGCACCGCGTGTTCAGTACTATATGTATGTATTGGCATCTGGAATATTCCCTTTACTCATCACGAATCACACGGTCGATTGTTTATCTCGAAATGAAGTGAAAATTATTTTCTCACTTTTGTAATTTTCACCTCATTTCAAGATACATAATCAACTTCCAAAACGCAGCGAACAGTCTATAGTGGAAGAAACGCACCTGCAGTCACTAATCACACACCAATACATTCATACATGTGTTGCATGCAATGTATCACTTATGTATACAGTACTGTGTATACCGCACTACTTGAGATTTATTTTCTATAAATGAACTATACTTTTGGAACTTTAAAGTGAAAAAATATATACGATTGATATTTGACGAAAACCAGAAAGAAAATTCTAATGCAGGAATAAAAAGCAGATTAAAACACAGATTTATAACCTATTAATATAGTGTATTATGGTATGGAGTTTCGTGTATTTCCATGTCTTCATCTTTTTCTTTTGATATAAAAGGTATATAAATAAATAAAAACATGAAGAAAGAAAAAACAGGTGATAATAGTCGTTCCTATAAGTTAGGTAAGAATAACGAATGCATCTTTGTTAAATAATCGTCTTCTCCAGATTATGTTTTTGACAATTGTTTCCAAATTAATTTTTATTAATATTCATTGGAATTTTACTTGTTTTGTACTATTAATTATAATCATCTAACAGAAAATAATGCATATGATCTTACATGTGAGAAATAAAAGAATTATATTTTTTATAGGTTATGCTCTAGAAGTTAGATTTATGTATCAATTTATATATTAAGTTGCAACTTTATTTTTATTGATATAATTAATGCATTGCAATGTACTTGATATATTACAGCTCATCAAATATTAAGCTTAACGGGTATAAGTTTTCAAAGAAAAAGCATAATTGGTTTTGTCGAGTTGACAGTTATACCTCTGCGAGACACACTAAGGCTGGTAAAGCTTAATGCTAAACAATGTAGAATATATAGAGTTTGTTTAAATGACACCTATGAAGCGCCTTTCCAATATTTTGATCCATTCTTGGATATCTGTCAAGGAGATAGTAAACAGTAAGCGAATTTCTTTTGATAGTTTAATAATATATTCAAGATTATTAATAGATTAATTGTCAATTTTGTTATAGACGATCCTTGGAATTTTTCTCTAATATGCACTTAGCTGCAGCTCAGAAAGTTGATCCTGACAATAACGCTGGTGAATTAGTAGTTCAAATACCACCAGATGCAGCACATTTGGTTGCAGAAGGCCGAGGCTTAAGGATTAGCATCGAATTTTCTTTGGAACAACCACAAGGAGGTGTACATTTTGTGGTACCAAATTGTGAAGGAACTCTAGCTGAGGTAAATTTAGTTGTAACTAATGTTCTTTTTTAATTATGGGTTCCAAGATTACAATATCATGTTTTATTTAGAATTTGATAGAATCTGATGCAAATTATATTTTACAAATGTCCAGATGCTTTGTATTTTAGTGTTGTAGTTTTAATATGTCAATTTTTATAATCTTTCTTTATGAATTAAAATTAATTTCAATAAACATTCTTCACTAAGCAATTTTAACTTTATATTTTTTAAACTAATTATTTGTAAACTCTATAATGCAATAATATTTTTTCATAACAATGTTATTTTTATATACTAATCTTTTTTAGAGAGGTGCCCATATGTATACATATAGCTATGAAAATTCATCTAGATTGTGGTTCCCATGTGTGGACAGTTTTGCTGAACCATGTACTTGGAAATTAGAATTTACCGTTGATGATTCAATGACTGCAGTTTCCTGTGGGGATCTGATCGAAGTAGTCTACACACCTGACATGCGGAGAAAAACATTTCATTACGTACTCAACACTCCTGCGTGTGCTCCAAATATTGCACTAGCAGTCGGGTAAGTAAATAGAAATAGTTAATAATTAATTTTATGTATAGTATGATAATG